GCATGTCACTCTCAGAACTCAAGTCATTTACGCATGCTGGGAAGGAAAAAAAACATCCCTCTGAAATGTGGAGTTCTAGACTTACCATTTTAAGATGAGCACGTTCAAATATTCACGGAATATAGATGTCTATGCAAAACGTTTTCATCTCCAATGGAACTTGTCCACTTATTCTGAATATTGCTTAGTCATTCACGCAATCAGTTCTTGCTCGGATAATTTTGAAGTGCCTTGTCCTACCTACATTTACTTGTAAACGCACAAATATTTACCGATGGTTCTGCGAACATTTTAAACTATACTCAGTGCTCTTGTTAGTTTCCATCTTCAGGCAAAGTAAACGTTGTTATAAAGATGATAAGTTTCTAAAGAAACAGCGGTGCTGCGTCGGTAAAAAAAACAAGACTACTTTATTTAAACTCGGATGAAAATGAGGCTCGTTAGGCCTCTAGCAATAGAGATGCTAATATACCGAGGAAAAATTTATGAATATAAAATACAGAGTTTAAAAATAATATAAGCCTAAATATAAATGATGATATAAAATTACAAATTACTTAGTTTTCTTATCTAATTCCTGAAGGTAATTTTGGTTATGATCAACTGAGTTGATAATTTAAATTGGCCACCGTAAAGAGAAATGTCATTTCGCCCTGACGAAGGGCTGACGCTCGAAACGCCAGTTTTGAAACTCTTCAAGGTGACCAATTTACATTATAAACTTAGTTTACATTATCAACTCAGTGGATAAAACCAAAATTAAGTGTTGTTATAGTTCTTATGGGCTGCTGTCCATTCAAAGATATTGATAAAATAGATATTTAAGGATTTAGCTTTAAACAATATTAAAGTTGCCGAGAAATAATTATGCGAAAAAGAAGAATCACTATTTACCTCAAGGATTAACCAAGACTTAGCGTAGAATTATAGAAGCTAAACTGATACAACAAAGAAGGCAACCTAAGCTTGTCTTTTAATTTTCTGTCCTTCCGCAATTAAAGGGAGCTAATATTCATAGTCAATAGATTATAATCTCTTGTTATAATTAAAGGTAATGTGGTTGGTTGAGTCATTTCATTATCATGGTCTTAGGATTAAAAGCGTCGCCGGTGTCTTTAACGCATAGTGTTGGTTTATTACTGCATAAAATTTCCAGCAAGCAGACATCGATTTTTTATCTTAATTGTTTCAACTGTTTTTCTATGAAAAATCTCTGGTAGATTATGGTTTACATTTTCTAGAGCTAGTTTTCATGGCCCTCGAGGTAACAGTTCGACCTCCTAACGTTATCTCCATATCTTTCAGTCCACCAAATACATTTACATTTTTGTGGTATTGAAGAGCTAAAATGTTAACGCTATTACAAAACAACCTATGACGGTAATCGCAAATCAAAAATACGCATTTGGCAACAGTCCCGATGCGTTCACCAAAGGCGGATCTGTTAGAGTTTTAGTGAAACATAGTGTGCGTCGAACTGTTTTGAATAGCTTATTAGCGATACAAAAGCGCTACAGCAGCTGTCCTCTTCCTTCATTGTCCTTTGATGCTTTGAAATAAAAGCCAAATCCCCCGGCTATGACGGTCATGGCTGCACTAATTTCAGATACTACAATACCCATGTTACGCTTGGCTAAGGTCATATCATTACAATTAGGCAGTACATAAGTGTAAACATCTTACTCAGGCTAAGTTCAACAGTTGAGAATATATTCACTTGATTTTTAATTGCATTGTTTTGTTCTCCCACACACCGGTGGGAGGCAACGTTGTTGACTGCTGACCTGTGAAACAGTTGTATTTTCTTATTCAAGTTTGTCTGGTGCGGCCATTTTTAATTGATTCAGTTGCATTCTCCTTCAGACGGTTCGTCGAAGAAGTTCGTTGATACTGTCTCATCTGGATCCCGCGGGTTCTGAAAGAATTCAGTATTCTTAGCCAGATATTTCACTTCCTTCAACAAACCGGTAAGTTTTGTTCTCTAAACCAGATTTCGTACGTCCTAGCAAAATGCTTAAGCGTGTCGATTTTTGTCGACTATTTAGGCGAAGACCATTTGAAGCGGAAATCATGATTACTAGTTTATTTTCGAAAAGTGTTGCTCATCAATTACGGACTTAGTGCCTATAACTGTCCATTGAACGAACTCATCTATGCAACTATTGACCGAATTCTTAATTCAAGATCACATGGACATCTTATGACCACAACAGTGAAAAGTAGATTCCTCGTCGCATCGTTTCTTTCACTTTCCGGAAGACTATTCAAACTAAATTCAATGATAAGCGAAGAATCGCTGAAAAGTCTATTTGAAATATATTCTATTGGAAGTTTATATGAATAGTCCATCTGAAATCAATATAACTCGCCGAGGACTATGTTAGAAGTTTTCACAAATGCTCATGTTTGAGAAATACTCCAAGATTTTGGGTCAACTCAGTAGCAGAGGTGGCACTAAAACTTTCCTTGATCATTGAAAAGTCTGTCGGTGTGACACATTTCAAACAGGAAGACTCCCTATTTTTTTAAATAATTCGCTTTCGGATCTTATCGCAAGAAACGTGAATCCTTGAATGCTAGAAACCCTTGTGTAGATTTGATCTATAATGAATCCATACAAAGGTTGAAATTTTGGAGCTTAAATCATAACGAAACGCAAAATATGATGATTGTTTTGTTCAAGAGTCCTGGTATTGATTTCTCCCCCTACAAAGCTTCCACTGAGAAACATATCTTTATCTCCTTTAAAGGTTGTATTGGTCATTCTGACAAATTTTACAAGTTTATGTACGAGGTTCATAATTTAAGCTTGTGTATCTCGTGCCTCTCTGCTTAGACGGCGTCCGAGATATTTGCAAATTGAGAAGTAGCACTCCTAGCCATGTGCCGGACGGAGCTTTCAGTTGATTTCCGATTGCTTTTGAGCGATATTAAGATCAATATAAGAACAAATATCAAGCGCAACCGTAGAGCCAAATGTGTGTAAAAATTATGATAAGCTTTCAGTCTGATTCCCACACATAATTATTAGATGTTTCACACACAGTGGTAAACGGCAGGTACAATCGTCTCACTACGCGCTAAAAATAAAGTCAGTACCGAAACAATTTAAAAAAAATCCTTGATTCTTTCGCGATCGGTCCTTCAGAGCCAGGTGTATTTTTCGGGTTTCAATTTTTCTGGAGGGACGAAAACCTATTGCTTCTCAGTTCGTGATCCTCGTTCGCTCGACCACCTTCGACACTGTTTCACTCGGTTGTTTACAAATATCATGATGATCATGATCAAGATGAGCAATACAAGCAAAGGCCCGTAATGTAGCAGATTGCCAGTTCCTTAACATTTCTTTCGGTAAGTAACGCACTCGCTTAGACTAGTTCTCCCTAGTCGAGGATAACGATTCTGGCTTGTGTAGGACGCTAAAAAACTGTTCGAAATGCGAAATGCCCATCTGAAAAATATTAGTAATGTGGTCTTCTGCAGCCAATATAGTAACACGTAATGTCGTACACGTCATTTTACAGCATTTTTCGTCTTACTAAGGACTTTTTAGCTTTAAACACTTATTCAAAATAATCTGAAAAAAACAAAATATAGCTACTGAGGCTGAGAGCTCTCATTTGACCAGCATGATGCGATGATGCCGGGTTTGGCGATTGAACGCAGATTTAGCTCGTAGGAACGATTAATTATACTTGCTTTACAAGTCATCATGAAATACACTCTCTCAAATATAAAACCAATGCAACATTAAATTCATGGTTTTCTTACGTTTTTATAGCTTTTAGCTGAGCCTAAAAACATTTACTGCCCTTTATGTTGTTGAAATATTCCAGAGGCTTTTTAAGAGTCGATCAGTACACGACTTAGGAATCTGATCGGTCACGTCTCATAAATCTCAATCACTTCAACAGTTGTTAACCGGCATCTTTTTCTCACGGCAAGTTTTTGCCGTTCGAGTTGTTCATTGAGCCTCATTCAAATTATTCTTCCTTACGACGAACAGTCCCCCTCAAACACCTATCGACAAATTGCGGAGACTTGAAAATGAAGGCCTGAAATCGTCGAAAGTAATGGCATAGACAGCCCAAGAAAATAGGGCTGCTTATCATTGATATGCCTGACTGTTCGGTCCTGTTTACTCAAAGCATGTATACTTTTCCTCTTCAGAATAAAAGGAACATGGAAAGCAGGGAACAAATAACCCCAGGTGAGACTCACACATAGACTCAATTATTGCTCGTAGAACAAGCAACTTCAGCGACTCGTCAAACTGATGGCAACAGTATCAAGGAGGCGGATATGAAATCATGCATGTCGCCACTACCATGATCGATCAGCACTTTAAACCTGTGTCAATTGATGGTGAAATGTGGTGTCAAACGGATATCTCAACTTTGCTGATCATATTCAAAACAAAATTTTCGAGGCAGGAAAAGGTTATCATAAAACTCTTTAAAATTCACTAACGAACCAGCAGTATCTGTGGCGGGGGTAACAGTCATTGTAAAAATTTTTGCAAATTCAATGCGGCTCTGAGCACTATTAACGGATACGTTCTACTTAGCAGGCATTGTGATGTTCAAATTCAATCGTAACTTTTTAGTATATTTTTAAAACATGCTATTTTCAGAGAATCCTCCACCCTACACACCACAGGCTCCTGTCACAGCTCAACCACCCAACCAACCGCAACTTGGTGTCTCTGCATTGTCAGGTTACCCAGGACAGCCTGCTAACCCAACACAGCCTGGTTACCCGGCACAGCCCGGCTACCCAGCCCAGCCTGGTTTCCAAGCACAGCCTGGTTACCCAGCACAGTCCGGGCAGCATCCTCAGCCTGGGTATTCTCCTCAGTATGGCTACCCACAAACGCAGCAGCCAGGTTATCCTCCCCAACCCACTCAACATGTCCAACAAAGTACCACTGTGGTCAACATGCAAGCACCTGTAAGTTCCTCACTGACTTTTTATAATTAAAATTCCTTATGGTGAAATCATGAACTCCAGATCCTCCTCGACCAGTTTGGAATGAATACGTATGTCTTTAGAGGAAATGGGGTTTTTACACGCAAACTATATATCTATCTATCGAGCAAATGCCATATCATTAATGTTTTGCGCCACAAAAAAATTTACCTTCAAGTTGAAGGAAACCATTAGATTTGGAAACTGACAAAGATAAACCAATAAGGGTTTAAAGAGCTAAAGATAAAGAAGACAGATAGGACTCCAAATAAGCCAACTTGAAAAGGATCAAACCCTGGCGGATCTCCCTGATTAGCTTCTGATTAGCAACAGAGCCAAACTACCAGAACTAAATTTAATCAGTTAGAAATGCGTAAAGGTTAGAACGTGGAACTCACGTTTAGTGTTTCCGAGTATTCAGATTTTAAGGCAACATGGATGTTTCGGAACGCAAAGAGTTTTTTTTTTTATCTAGAACCTTTTACTCTGTCAAGGAGCCCAAATATATATGCGTTATCGACCAAGCGTGAGGTCAAGATGGCTGGATATTGGCCGAGTTCTTTTTTGCATTTTTATAGACCGAGACGAAGTCGAGGTTCATGAAAACGCAAAAAAAAAAAAAAACAAAGAAAAAAACAAGGATCTTGACCAAACAAGCTTTGTCAGTAAAGGATTTACTGCATAGCAAAATATTTCGCTTTAATGATTAATGAGAACTGTTTATTTCGAGAGCCGGGAAAGAAAACCAACTGTGTTTGTTACACAGTGTGCCCAATTTCTTGAAAAAATTTTTCTCTGTTTTGGCTGTCTTCTACCGCTTTTTGCGACTTCGTCGCTGACATGTCCAAAAGTTACGAAGTTTCTAAGTCAGCTCCACGCACTCTTTCTCTTGCGCGGGAGCAAAACGGAATATCAAAAAGGAATATCTGTAAATAGAAGAATGTATTGAACAGGAAAATACACATTTCCATTTCTAGACGCGAAGAACGAGCTGTCTTTTCATTTGAAGGATTTATTGATATTCTCTTTCGTTCTCTTTCAAAGGCTCCGACGATCATCATGCCAATGGCTCTTCCTCCTCCAAACTGGTTAGGCCTCTCCTTATTCACATGCTTTTGCTGCTTCCCGATTCTTGGAATAGCTGCTATTGTTTTCTCCATCATGGTAAGAATTTCTTTCATAATAAAATATCCTGAAACAAGTAGCTTTCATTGCGTTCACTCTTTGATTGTTAGGACATCTCTAATTCTAATCGTCCTGCCGTGAATAGCTTCTTATGATTTCATTATACAGTTTAATTAAACGATGTACAATAGTTAGAGTCCTGTAGCTGCTATTTCCATAAGAAATCTCGAAGTATAAGCCATTCATTTCAGCTGGCAAAATAATATATGAAAGATAATCTCCAAAATCATTTCGCAAAGAATGATTGCTTAGTTAGCCGTATAAATCCTGGGTAAATTCCGATTATTTTCAATTGGCGCAATTCTATATCAAATCCCTAGATTATTTTCTTTGACATGACATTTTTGTTGGATAGCTGCACAACAGTTTATTACCAACAAGAATTGGAAGTGAGCACTTTATTACGCTATCTAAACTTTGTTTGGCTAATACTCTTACTGATTACTGACTGCTGAATTCTCAGGTGGACAGTTCATATGCAGCAATGGATTATGACGGCGCTTGGAGGAATTCACAAATCGCCAAGTGGCTGAATATCGTCGGTATCGCCATGGGATGCTTTACGGTCATGCTCGTTATAATCTTAACTACGACCGTGTAAAAACAAACAAAAAAAACAAACAAACAAACGAAAACACAAAAAGGTAAATCTACTGTTTTTGACCAGTGCACATCAGAGTAAGGTTTTTCGTGTATTTTTGCTTCAATATTTGGTCGACTAATGACGCCGCTTCTTTAAGTTCAAACATTTAAATGATTTTTACACACCCATTGTTTGTGGAGGTGTCTAAATTTAATTGCAATTTTAATAACGTACACACTTGTGGAAGATATGTGCAGCACGTAGGGATAACTTAACAAAATCCATTAAAATTTGAAAACAGGGATGTTATAGTAGCAATGATAACTGATCTGAATGAAAACAGAAATAATACATGAAGTTCTTACACATAGTTATTTCCAATAGAATTGCCCAGTTGCGCTCGGTTGATATCAATGCACTCTACTCTGAAAATAAAAAATGCTTACTTTTCGAACGTCGATAAAGTTCTCATTGTGGATAACAATTGCTCTCCTCCAAATCTCAGTTTCACCCAACAAAAGAACACTCACACCTTGGGTGTGGCTCGCTTCAAGCCAAGCGTTCGTTTTGTTCTCGAAAAGACAACAAGATAGGTGACGATTTATAGAGAAGTCATTTCTAAGTAAAACAAAATGCATATATGTATGTATATATTCAGTTTCTCACCATTTTCACTGCATTACCGCAGTAGGGTAGGACTAGAACGGAACATATGCGATCCATGCGAGTAGTCCACTCATTAAATCCCACCCATCCCACCCCAGGAGAGGACATCCATCACACAGTAATCTCGTGATTGGGAAACTAACGTCTCCTACCTCTAACCCTGCAGGAGACGGGACCTCCCTTTATTCGTCCCTATCCGAGAAGACTAGAGTATCTAACCATTTCTTGATGTTATAGAAATGTAGCATATTCTTCTCAATTATTTTAAGACCTTAAGTGTTGGTCCGGCCGGGGCTTAAACAGTCGACCTCCCGCACGACAGTCCAGCGCTCTATCCATTGAGCTGACCGGGAGGCGTATATATATATATATATATATA